CCAATCTGGCAGCAAGCTCTGGGATATTTGTTGGAAGAACTGATTTAGTTGGAAAAAAAATGAAATTAGTGAATTCAGTCAGGGTTGAACAATAAATATGTAAACACACAATTTCATACTGTTTTCTCATTTTCAAAATGTGGGATTACTGATAAACACAGAATGTTGTCAGGAGGAATTCTACCTGTAGTATGACTTTAACAACTAATAGCTGTTCGTACAGTTCTGTATTCTGCTTTCCTCATTTAGCATATGTTATGAACATATTCTCTTGTAATGACCATATTTGGATTAATTTTTAATGGTTGTACCAATATTCAATAATATGAATTACTACAACTTGTTTAATTATTCCCCACATTGCACAGTTTACTTGGAATTTTTTTTAATATATAAAAATTTATTGTCAAATTAGTTTCCATACAACACCCAGTGCTCATCCCAAAAGATGCCCTCTTCAATGCCCATCACCTACCCTCCCCTCCCTCCCACACCCCATCAACCCTCAGTTCTCAGTTTTTAAGAGGAATTTTTTTTTTAATGTTTATTTATTGTTGAGAGAGAGACAGAGCACAAGCAGTGGGGGTGGGCAGAGAGAGAGGAAGACACAGAATCTGAAGCAGGCTCCAGCCTCTGAGCTGTCAGTACAGAGCCTGACGTGGGGCTCAAACTCACAAACAGTGAGATCATGATCTGAGCTAAAGTCGGACATTCAACCGACTGAGCCACCCAGGCACCCCTACTTGGAATTTTAAGAGTGCCTATTTACCTATATTTTTGTTATCACTTAAAAGCAATACACTTAAAAAAATTGCCAATTGTTCTGTGAAAATAGTATTTCATTTTAATTTTCTATTTTCTTGTTTCAGAATAGTTTTCTTATGTAAGCTAAATCTCTTAAAATCTTCTTCACATTATTCATGTTTCTAGCAAATATCTCTTTAAAAATAGCAAGTTACACTTATCCTGTGCCTTAATTACTAAGAATTCAAATTTGGTGGAATCCAGACTTCATTATGTTTTACAATATAGATAAACTTAAAATTTTTTTTGAGCCTTGGCCATTATTTTATTTATAGTTTTAGTCTTTCAGATATTCAATAAATGGTTACTTTGTACATGTATTATGGAGAAAACTAGGGTTTTTTTTAAAGAAATAAAGAACTGAAGAGTTTAGTGGAGAGGAAAGCCATATAGGAAAACCTGCAGTTCAATGTATATATCTATACAGGGATTGGATGAGAAAATATGTAGAGAGTACTTAGTGCTTGGCAGAGAGTAAAGGATAAACACTATCACCATTATTGACAACATTATTCTTTTTTTAATGTTTATTTATTTTTGAGAGAGAGAGAGAGCAAGAGCGAGTGGGGTGGGGGGGAGAGGGAGGCACAGAGAGAGAGAGGGAGGCACAGAATCCAATGCAGGCTCCAGGCTCTGGGCTGTCAGCACAGAGCCTGACGTGGGGCTCGAACCCACAGATTGTGAGATCATGCTGAACTAAAAGTCAGGCACTTACCCAACTGAGCCATTGACAAAATTAGGTTGCTTATGGGTTTTCTCTGGTCTAACAGTGGGAAAAATTCTAACAGAATTGGCCAGAATTGACTGTCCATGTATTGACCCACTCTCTTTCTCTCTCTCTCTCTGCCTCCCTCCCTGCCCGCCCCCCAGTCCTTCTCTCTCTCTCTCTCTTCCTTTCCCTCCCTTTCTCATGGTTAAAATTTTCTCACACAGTGTGTGATTATTTTAATACCAATTTGGTAAGACTTCTTTTAGGTTACTCTCAGGAGAATTGAAGTAATACCATGAGGCTCTCTTTTGTTATCAAATATTATCCAAAAGGTTCTCTTGATTTGCATTATGAGAGGTAATAAGTAAACCATTTTCAAAGGTGGTGTGGTCAGGTTTCATTCTCTTTCAAACAGATCTGTCAATTTCTCTGTCCTCCCCACATGCTTCCTTGCAGAAGCTGGGCGGGCATGGTTCTGATCCCTCAAATCCTGTGAGAATGCCCCTTATGACCTCATCGTCACACTGCAATTTGACATCATAAAGAGAATATCCCATAGGACCTCCACGTGACCACCATGTTGTAAAAACTAAGACCACAGATTTAAGGTGTGGAGTATGACTTTGTCTTTCCCTAAATCTGCATGCAGAAAGGAATGAGAGTGGGTGCACACGAGCCAAATTTGAACTACCGCCACACTGAAGTACATGATGGCCATGCAAGGCATGAGATCCAAAACCACAAAAGAGGGAAGTAGAACATTAATATAAGTTATGTTGCTAAATATTTTGTGGTGTTGGTCTGCAGTTGAGCCATATGTTGGCACTCTTGGAGAGCTATTTATAGACTTCTAAAGGGGTATTTTTTCCAGGGATGATAAAAATGTAAAGGTCTTTCATTTTGTTGAGATTGATTTCTTTTTCCTCTGAAAGTTTTTGTGATATGTAGCTCTGTTTAGAGAGTTGTGGTTTTGGTGGGGGGGGGGGTTGTTTTTGTTTTTTTTGTGTGTGTGTTTTTTTTTTCATTTCCGCAAGCTTCAGTCAGTGTTCAAAGTCTAGTCGACTCACCTTTTAACCCACTGTTCTGACCCCTTTCCTTTGACAAAGGTTGTGCTGAATTCATGTGTCTGACAAGCAGTGAGGTTTGACTTTGCAGCTCTTAACTTCATTTCTTTCTCCTTAGTTTTCTGCATCTTTGCCTTTTATCGTGTTTGTTTTGGTCTTGATGTTTAAATTACAAAATTAATAGTCTTCTGTTTCAATGTCCATTTTTTCCAAGATTAATTTTATTCCTTAAAATATTCTTTTTCCCATCCACTTCTTCTTATATGTTTTTGTACTTTTATATGACTGTTACTTCTTTGAATAACCTAACAAGTATTAATTTTAATTATAATTAATATAAAGTCCAGATGGCTCATGGAATTAATTTCTTCTCTAAATTGACTTTCTGATTATTGATTTTCTCAGCTATCATTTTTGCATATTTTCATTGTATATTTTAGAATTTTAGTACAGTGGCTCATTTTAACAAGATTTTTTTTAATCTTTTTTTTTCCTCTCTCCTTCTGTTTTGCAGTTGCCTAAATCCATCCCCTGACTCCCTTAATTGGCATTTAGAGCTGTTGTTCCACAGTGATACTGGCATGTGATAGATTCAGAGAGTGGCTTGGTTTGGTTCTGGGTGGTGAGGCTACATCACTGCCCTCTCTCACTTGGCAGAGCCTTCTTCCAGGGGTCAGAGACCCTCATACAGCACTGGCTTCAGGCACTGAGCCTGCCTTGGGCCCTCATCCTACAGAACACACATAGTCCTGCTTGCTCTCCAGGAACCGTGTTCCCATGCCATCTTTGGACACAGAGTCAACAAGTCCACAACTTTAGCCCTGCTCACTTGTTCACAGTTCTGGTCAACTTTTCTATCTAGAAATTTATCAACCATGCATCTGACCTTTTTTTTCTTTCCTTCTGTTGTGTGCATTTTTTCTTAATAACAACAATACTATTTTTGTGTGATTTTGGATGCAAGAGGGAACATAAAAGCATGAACTATATCATCTTGATTGAAAGTAAAGATTTACTTCTCAAAAGCAATTCCCCACATTTTCAAAATGCCTACATGCTGCATATGGTTGGAATAATATATAATTCTGAAACAATATTATAGCTTGGTATTCTGTTATTTAGACTTTTCTTTTTGTTTAAATATTAAGATATGAAATATACCTTTTTATGAACATATATTTATTCATTTATCAACAAATATTTGTTGAAGGCACACTATGTGCCAGGCAATGTTCTAGGGCAATAGGAATGCAGTAGTGAATAAAACAAAATTTCTGCTCTGATGGAGTTTACATTCTACCAAGGAGATATAAGTAATATGCAAACAGGTAAATAGATAAATATATACCATTATAGGTACTATTAAGATGGCATTGAATCATAGGCATCCCCAAACTCAGAAGCAAGCACCAAGTGCAGACAGAAAGACTAGAAAGGAGACTTCTCTTTTTGGTATTCCGCTGTTCTTCTAGAATATGATCACTAAGCCTTCTTTATTTGACATTTATAAGAATATCTTATAAATTGACAAGGAAAATGGTCAACAGATGTTAACTATAATCATATGTTTTCAAGAGAAAATCAAATGTAAAATAAATATATGAAAAAGATGTTTAGCCCAAGTAGTAATTTACAAAGTAGCAACAAAGGGAACCTTTTTCTTAAAAATTGCTCACTCTCATCAATTTGACAGGGGCTTATGAAGATAATGCTTGATTCTGGCTAGAGTTTCATGAAACAGTTGTTTTGTGTGTGTGGTGGTGGTGATTTTAAAAATACATGGTTTGGGGTGCCTGGGTGTCTCGGTTGGGCATCCGACTTCAGCTCAGGTCATGAACTCACGGTTTGTGAGTTCGAACCCCGCTTTGGGCTCTGTGCTGACAGCTCAGAGCCTGGAGCCTGCTTCGGATTCTGTGTCTCCCTCTCTCTGTGCCCCTCCCCGACTCACACTCTGTCTCTCTTTCTCTCAAAAATACAGATTAAAGAAAAAAAATTTTTTAATAAATAAATAATAAAAATATATAGTTTGGGGGCACCTAGTGGCTCAGTCAGTTAAATATCTGACTTTTGATTTCAGCTCAGATCATGATCTCATGGTTTGTGAGTTACAGCCCTGTGTCACACTCTGCACTGTGACAGTGTAGAGCCTGCTTGGGATTCTCTTTCTCCTTCTCCCACTCTCACTCTCTCTCTCAAAAACAAACTTAAAAAAAAAATCCATATCTATATATCTATAGTTTTAAAATTATAAAAATGTTAGCAATGATATCTCTGATTCTTTTCCTTATGATTTTCTGTATTCTCTAATTTTTCTATAATTATATTGATTTTATAGTCAGAAAAACATACTTTATGGCTGTGTAGATCATTTTTGAAGGTGTTAACCTATCAAATGACACTTTCCTTTGGTATTTGGTGTGTAGGTGTTCCCTCTGGCACATGTGTGCAATGACACAAATAAGATGATGTTAATTAACCCCCAAGGAGTCAAGCTCAATATCTACAAGCAAAAAGTGGAACAGGCAATTAAGAGCTATGAAAAGTGAGTATCATTCCTGGCTGCTCTTTAATGACTGTGGGATTTGTTTGTTTTGGCTTGTTTTCTCTTGTTTTAGCTTAGATTTTTAATTTTTAATTTTTTATTTATTTTTATTTTTTTTAATGTTTATTTTTGACAGAGAGACAGAGGACAAGAGGGGGAGGGGCAGAGAGAAAAGGTGACATGGAATCCGAAGCAGGCTCCAGGCTCCAAGCTGTCAGCATAGAGCCTGATGCGAGGCTTGAACTCACGAAAACACGAGATCATGACCTGAGCCTAAGTCGGATGCTTAATCGACTGAGCCACCCAGGTGCCCCTAGCTTAGATTTTTAAAAATCTGGAGCAGCTATTTAATAATTGCCCATAAGGAAGATCAATAGTAGCATCCACAAACATAGGTGCTTCCTATTTGCCAAGCACTGCATTAAGTACATTACCTGAATAAATCCAACAGAGTTTTAAAGAAACCATCCTCTCTCTCCAAAAGCTATAGAAATCTCATGTTTCCATGAGATCTTTAAAGCTTTCCTGTTAGCAAAGTGCATTTGATCATTTTCTGCACCTAACGTTTTGTAAAGTGAATAATAAAACTTCACAATAATGAGATAATGGAGATAATATGTGTCTCCTACTATATAAACCATTTCTTACCAAGCTCAGGAAGATGATCAAGTTGGCTCGAGTGAAAGTTATACTCTTAAATAGTCCCTGTGTTAGTGCTGACATGGGGCCTTATTTCACAAGGGCCGAAGCCTGGTCTCACCCCTTACCTAACTCCATGGTCACCTTCCATCCCACTCCCAGCACTTTATTGATTCTTTGTGCATAGCACATAAACTTTGAACATGCCCAGCTTCTCTAGGCAGGCCTTTTCATGGTTCTAGAAGCTGTGCAGCTGGGTTTTCACTTACTGCCATGTGAGTGGGAGAAATGAAATAAAGTACATGAAAGTTAATGACATGTCCTAGCCAGCATATGCTGGTCTGTTGTCATTTTGCACTGTGCTAAGTGTGTGTTCAAAAGAAGCATAAAGTCTGACTCCTGCCATGTGGGGTACACAATCCAGTCCAGAAGCTGGCCTTTCCCTACTGTGCCCATCACAGGCCTCTGCGAATCTCCTTTCACTGGAGACTTCTTCTGCCCTCACCTAAGAATGGAGGATGGCTTACATGAGTTCTTCAGTTGCCTCCAGCCTCCTCAGGACTTCTCTTTTCCACCCTTTGTGTCTCTTGCAGACAGCATGGACTATGCCAAGGCTCATTCTTCTCCGTGGGCCTGAGGCTCTGCTCTGTAGATCCCCCCCCACCTCTGCTGTACATGGGGGGCTGCCCCTCTTCTCCTCCTCTCCCCCTGTGCCAGGCAGTCCTTCCCTTGCCTCCCAGCAATGCTGCCCCTCTTCCCATCCCCCGGCTGGTCTCTTTCCTTCCTGTCTTGCCTAAGCTCTAGTGGCCCTCCTCTGAGAGCCCTTTCCAAGATGACTCCACCACCCACCCTGCATGTGGCCCTCAGAGGGCTCACAGCTTCTGCACAGGCCTGTCTCCCCACTGCAAGGACATCAGCTTCCAAGGGCAAGGGCTTAGCAGCCTTACTCTCCCCCCTTGTCCCCTCTCCCTAGCAGGTGTTGCTATGTATTGTATTTGGTAATGTATTTGGCTGCTGGAATTTAATTTGAATTTTATCTAATTCACATTTAGTTATTAAAATTCATCAAATTCAGTTATTCAAAATATAATACAATAATGTCATTCATATTATAATTGAATTTGCTTGACTCAGTCAAATATTTGAGTTCTAGAATCCCCTGGTCTGTGAAAGCCTGGTGCAGGGCCATAAGCTAGGGCTTTGACGTCCCAATTCTGGGTTTCATTCTTGGTTCAGACATCTACTTGGCAGGTCAAGTAACAGCTGCTGGCTTTAGGTTCCTTCTTTATAAAATCTACCTCACAGGGTGGCTGTGAGGGTTATGTAAATTATATATAAAGAACAATTAATGTTAATACTTCCTCCTTTAATTCCCTGAATCTGTTAATCCTATTATATACTGAGTGTAATAGTCACATAGCTCCTCCCTGTGCACTGACATTTTCCCTTTCTGCGAGACAAGGATCCCTCCTTCCCTAATAGCAAAACCAAAATGCAGACATAGTGATTTGTCCCACTCTTACTTCCAATGAGTGAATCTGGAAGAGCCTTTTAGTAACCCCCAGAGAAATGTTACACTATATTGTTATTATTAATAATAACATTAATTTTAATATGGTTAATTTTATTTAAAATTCAATATCATTGAATTAATGTGACATTAATGTAATATTTACATTAAATGAATTTTTTTATTATTATTTAATAATCAATTAATACTAACATTAATATTACACAGATACAGAACAAAACTTCCTGATCTTTCACATTCAGTAGTATTTAAGGATTTTATTGGCATAAGTGTCAATTCCCTTTTCCATCTTGTGTGACCTTTCTAAAGATACACATAATTAAGGAAACTTGGTTTACTCCCACCCCATCCCAATATAACATTTCTAAGGAATTTCCCTTCACAAGTAAGCCAAATATAACCCTAAATTTGTTTGATTAGCGATGTCCAGACAATTGAGAAGTTCACAGCCCTTTGGCCAAAATAGGGACATAAACTAGCTATTTTGGTCACACTTAGTGGCTATGTGTGGGAGTCCTTCTGTTTCAATATTTTAAAAATTGAGGGGCACCTGGGTGGCTCAATTGGTTAAGCATCCAACTTCAGCTAAGGTCATGATCTCACGGTTTGTGAGTTCAAGCTCGGCATCAGGCTCTGTGCTGACAGCTCGGAGCCTGGAGCCTGCTTCAGATTCTGTGTCTCCCTTTCTCTCTGCCTCTCCTCCACTCACACTCTGTGTCTCTCTCAAAAATAAATAAACATTAAAAAAAAATTTTTTTAAAGAATTGAGATAGCAATTTTTGTGTGTCTGAATATAAACTTTGAATGAAGATTGCCAGAACTGGCTGGCTTCTGGGGTGATTTTTCTGCAGCTTTTCGATTTTGAGTATAAGGTCAAGGTTGTGGCCCTCAGACCCACAGGAGAAGCATCAGTTCTAACCTGGCTGTGGGAACATGCTTAGTAACCTCTTTCTAAGACCTCCAAGATGCTCGGCCTGCTGGTTAGACTGCTGAAGTGTCGTTAGTTACAAGTTGCTTTGCAAATGAGTCAATTCTTGGCACAAGGTGATTTGTCAACTAGAGATATAGAGAGCTAGTGAATGCAAGCCGTCAACCAAGTTTCACCCTCCTAAAACAAGAGGAAAACTGTGGTTAGTAAAATCCCTGAATGAAGGGGCTGGGCCAGCATCAGAGAGGTCCTCATGTCCGTGCCCTCTCAGCATCTTGCAGGGACAGCCCTCATCCCACACCCTCAGTGGCTTTTCCACTGTCACCTGGCCAGTCAGTGGAGCCTCGATTGACACACTCTCAGTTGCACTCAGTTCATGCCCACACACTTTTTCTGCCCTGTGTGCTTTGAAGTATTTCAGCATAGATGGAAAATAGGGTAATAATAGAAGTTATGTAAGTGTGCTCTTAGAAAAGTATTTTCTAAAGGATTGATTTAAAATTAGCGGGATGTGCTAGCTAATTGGGCCCCATTCACTAAGGGTTTCTCAGTTTCCAAGCCTTGCCCATCTTCAGAACCTGGAGGGAATAATCACAGAGTTATTCCTGGTCACTTTATATGTACATCTCAATCCTCCCAGCACCAAAGTAGGTGGTGTTATCCTTGTTTCAGCAATAAGAAAACAGAATTTCAAAAAGTTACGTAACACAGGATCACACAGCAGCAAAGTAGAGGCACCGAGATTTGAACCTAGACCCATGTAGCTACAAAGCCCTTGTCTTCACTCCCAGCCTCCTTAATACACTGCCTCTACTTTCAAGGTCTAGATTTAAGGGGATTTTTAAATGAAGTTGTGTTTTTGTTTTTGTTTTCAGAGAAGCATACACACACAAACCAAAAATGCATCCTATGAGTCCTTTGAACAAATCTTAGAAGCCCCGCTTACCAATATATGGACCATGTAATTAAAGAAACCTAATTTCCAAATAGGCCCCAAAGAACCAACAACATCCAAGCGAGACAGAAGCACTGAGCTGGCTTATTTCCCGTTTCCTGATTGTTTGTATCACTTAACAGAGCATTTAGCTGCATCAGACAGGTTCTATGTGCTGTGCACATGCTGGCTCATTGAGCCCTCACAGCAACTCTAGGAACAAGGTACTGTTATTATCCACATTCTACAGAGAAGTTGGCTGCTGGCCCAAGGTCTCACAGCCGATAAGAAGAGAAAGCTAACTGAGCTTTGGGACCAGGCAGTCTGGCTCCAGAGCCTGTGCTATTCACTGCACGCCAGACCCGCTTTCCCATGGTCTCACCAGGCTCATGGAGGGAAATCAGGCAGGGTAACACCACCCAGAGTGTTCTCAGAGTCCTGTGCCTCTGACACTGGGTCCATTGGTTGGAGAATGCCTCCTGGAGAGGAGCAGGATTTTCCCACCTCACTTTATTGAAGCTTTGTTTTTCATGGAACCCTAGCTCACTGCCCGTGGAGCCAGTGTTTTTTGCCCTGCACTTCAGGAGGCTTACCTTGAGTGATGATGTAGTGGTACAGAATTAGGTGTACAGGATGGGGCTAGAACCTCTGAAAGAAGCAGCCCTGATTCATAACAAGAACAGAAGCTGTGATGACCCCATAGAAACCACTGGCGTCAGCCTCCTCCTTTCCTGTTGGGTTGACATTGCCTCTCCACAAACATATTCAGGGATGAGCTTCAGAAAGTTTCAGCACTGCCACTGCCCACCAGCCATGATGAATGAGCAGGACACCTCATCTGCTTGCCCCTCCCAGTGGCCTCGTTTGGAAAACAAGTTGGTCAGGCTGGTTGATCTCTAAAATGTGTCCTGATCCTATTATTTCTGACCCCTTTAGCCCCCTTTGCTCTGAAAATCCAGGTAGAAGAATATCTATAGAAGGTAAACTAAGGGCACAGTTATACTCTACCATAGGAAGAAAAACAACAAGTGTTTAGAGACCCCTTTGTGCCAAGAAAATCACAGCCCTTTTGTTTACTGCCATTTCTTAGCCTGGGTTTCACCTGATTCAGTGGAGACCTGTGCCCTCCTTTAGTATTTAACACAACTGCTACAAAGCCGTGAGGCTTCTGCAGTGATGCCAAGGAAGGGAGATACTCCCATCCAATATCTTTAAGCAAATGGCAGTGGCATGGTCCAATGGGTGCGTCACTTGGCTTGGGAGCTTCCTGCTGTGCCCTTCAGAGCCTGGGGTCAACCTTGTGCCATGAAATGAAAGTACTGCTACTAACTAATCATTGATTTTTTTAAACAGGCGCTTGAATAAAATTGTTTGGCAAGCGTTATCTCAAGAGGAAAAAGAAAAGTAAGCCAGTTCCTCTTTACTTTCTTTTTTTATTTTGGTGAAAGTCATATAACCTACAATTAACTGTTTTAAAGTGTACAGTCAGTGGTATTTATTCAAAATGTACAACCACCCCCCTCCCTTATCACCTCAGAAGAAACACCTTCTACCTATTATGTAATCCTTCCCCAAACCTCTCTCCCCCTCTGGTAACCACTAGTCAGTCTGCTTTCTGTCTCTGTGCATTTGCCTGTTCTGGGTAGTTCATAAGAAAGGGATCATACAACATTTCATGACATTTCATGTCTGGCTTCTTTCACTTAGTTTTGCAAAAACTATGTTTCCCAGTTGCAGCATGCATAGTATTTCATTTCTTTTTATGCTTCTGCATTGATCCATTATGTATATACCAGCTCTTTATCCATTGGTGGCTATTCGGGTTGTTTCCACTTTGGGGCTACTAAGGTCAAGGCTACCATATACATTCATGTAGAAGTTGCTTTGTGGACATATGCTTGCATTTCTCTTGGGAACATATCTAGGGGTGGATTTTCTGGGTCACAGGGTAATCTATGTTTAACTTTTTGAGGAGCCACCAAACTTCTTCAGGGCAACTGCACTATTTCACATTCTTACCAGCAATGTATGAGGGTTCCTGTTTCTCCACATCCTTGCCAACATTTGTTATTTTACCTTTATATATATTTACTTTTATATTTTACATACATGTGTATGTGTGTGTGTGTGTGTGTAACTAAAGCCATCCCAGTGGCCTCGTGGGTGTAAAGTGATAACTCATTGTGGTTTTCATTTGCATTTTCTTAATGCTCAGTAATTAAAAAAATTTTTTTTAATATTTATTTTTGAGAGACAGAGCATGAATGGGGGAGGGGGAGAGAGAGAGAGAGGGAGACACAGAATTCGAAGCAGGCTCCAGGCTCTGAACTGTCAGCACAGATCCCAATGCAGGGCTCAAACCCACAAGCCGTGAGATCATGACCCGAGCCGAGGTCAGACGCTCAACTGACTAAGCCACCCAGACACCCCTAATGATCAGTAATGTTAACTATTCTTTCACATGCTTGTTGGCCATGAATATATCTTCTTTGGAGAAATGTTATTCAAGGTCTTTGCTCATTTTTAATTGGATTATCTTGTCATTGTTGTTGAGGTGTAGGAGTTCTTTATATATTCTGGATTTTAACCACTTATCAGATAGATGATTTTCCTTTTTCTTTTTTTTTTAAGTTTATTTATTTTGAAAGAGAGAGAGAGAGAAGAGAAGGGGCAAAGAGAGGAAGAGAGGGGATCCCAAGCAGGCTGTGCGCTGCCAGCCCAGGGCCCGACACGGGATTTATCTCACCATCGTGAGAACATGACCTGAGCTGAAACCAAGAGTTGGATGCCCAACTGACTGAGCCATCCAGGCGCCCCTCCAGTAGATGATTTTCAGATACTTTCTTTCATTCCAAAGGTTGTCTTTATACCCTCTTGATATTTTCCTCTGATGCGTAGTTTTTATGTTTGATGTAGTCCCATTTGTCTATGTTTACATTTGTGTCTGGGCTTCGGGTGTTCTATCCAAGAAACCATTGCCAAATCCAATATCATGAAGCTTTCCCCCTATATATTTTTTCTAGGAGTTTTATAGTTTTTGGCCTTATGTTCAGGTCTTTAATCCATTTTGTTTTGAGTTAATTTTTATGTATGGTATACATTAAGGGTTCCAGCTTCATTCTTTTGCATGTGGATATCCAGTTTTACCAGAATCATTTGTTAGAGATGGTCCTTTCCTCCATGGTGAGTTCTTGGCACCTTTGATGATCATTTGACCATCTATATATGCATACACATAGGAGTTTATTTCTAGACTCTTTATTTTGTTCCACTGATCATGTTTGTCTTTATGTCAGTACCACAGCATTTTGATTATGGTAGCTTTGTATAATATGTCCTGAAATCAGGAAATGTGAGGCCTTTAACTTTGTTCTTTTTCGAGATTGTTTGGCTATTTGGAGCCCCTTGAGGTTTCATGAATTAGGATGATTTTTTCTACTTCTGCAAAACATGCCATTGAGATTTTGATAGGGACTGCATTGAATCTGTAGATTAATTTGGGTAGTATGGATATTTTAACAATATTAAATCTTCTAATTCATGAATACAGCATGTCTTTCCCGTTTATTTGCATCTTTTTTTTTTTTAATTTTTTTTTCAACGTTTATTTATTTTTGGGACAGAGAGAGACAGAGCATGAACGGGGGAAGGGCAGAGAGAGAGGGAGACACAGAATCGGAAACAGGCTCCAGGCTCTGAGCCATCCGCCCAGAGCCCGATGCGGGGCTCGAACTCACGGACCGCGAGATCGTGACCTGGCTGAAGTCGGACGCTTAACCGACTGCGCCACCCAGGCGCCCCTGTTTGCATCTTTTTAATGTTTTTTCCCATGATGTTTTATAGTTTACAGTGTGCAAATCTTTTACATCCTTGGTTAATTTTATTCCTAAGTATCTTACTCTTTTTGGTGCTATTTTAAGTGGGATTATTGTCTTAATTACCTTTTTGGATTGTGCATTCGTAGGGTATAGAAACAAAACTGATTTTTCTGTGTTGATATTTTATCCTGCTACTTTGTTGAATTTATTTATTAGTTCTAATAATATTTTTATGGGATCTTTAGGGGTTTCTACATATAAAATCGTGTCATCTGTGAACAGATATGATTTTCTTTCTTTCCAGTTTGGATGTTTTTTTAGTTTCTTTTTCTTATCCAATTTCTCTGGATAGGACTTTCAGTACTTTGCTTAATAAAAATAGTAAGAGTGGACATTCTTGCTTTGTTCTGTTCTGAGAGGAAAAGTTTCCAGTTATTGACTGTTGAGGATGATGTTAGCTGTGGGCTTTTCATATGAGGCCTTTACTGTGTTGAGGTAACTTCCTTCTATTCTGGCTTATTGGGTGTCTTTTCTTTTTTTTCCATGAAAGGGTGTGAATTTTGTCAAATGATTCTTCTGCATCACTTGAGATGATCAAGTGGTTTTTTTCCTTCATTGTTAATATGATGTGTCACATCAATTTTTATATGGAATCATCCTTGCATTACAGGAACAAATCTCACATTTAATGGTATATAATCCTTTTAATAGGCTGTTAGATTTGTTTGCTAATGTTTTGTTGAATATTTTTGCATCAGTGTTCATAAGGGTTATTGGCCTGTAGCTTCCTTGTAGTATTTTTGTCTGGCTTTGGTGTGGGGAAATGCTGGCTTCATAGAATGAGTCTGGAAATACTCCTTCCTCTGCAGTTTTGGAAGTATTTAAAGAAGATTGGTGTTAATTCTTTAAATGTTTGGTAGAATTCTTCACTAAAGCTATTTGGTACTGAGCTTATATTTGTTGGAAGGTATGTGTTTACTGAATCAGTCTCCTTTCTAGTTATAGGTCTCCTCAGATTTTTTTATTTCTTCATGATTCAGTCTAGCTGATAGTGTGTTTCTAGGATTCTATCCTTTTCTTCTAGGTTATCCAGTTTGTGTGTATAAATGATTATAGCAGTTTCTCATAACCCCTTTTATTTCTGTAGCTTTACTTGTAATGTCTCCTTTTTCCTTTCTGATTATGGTTATTTGAGTCTTCCATCTTTTTTTTCTTAGTTAATCTAGCTGAACATTTTTCAGTTATGTTATTCTTTCTAAAAATCAACACTTTCATTGATTTTTTTCTATTTTTTTTTTGTAATCTATTTTACCTATTTCTGCTCTAATCTATATTTTTTCCTTCCTTCTACTAACTTTGGATTTAGTTTGTTCTTTTTCTAGGCTATTGGTTTGAGATCTTTCTTCTTTTTTAATGTAAGTATTTAGCACAATAAATTTTTTCTCCCGGTACTGATTTTATGGTATTTCGTATATTTTGTTATTTTGTGTTTTCATTTTCATGTATCTCAAGATATTTTCTAATCTCCCTTGTGATTTCTTCTTTGACCCATTGTCTGTTTAAGAGTGTGGTGTTTAATTTGCATCTGCTTTTAATTTTCTAATTTTGTGCCATTGTGATTAGAGAAGATAGTCTTTTATGATTTCCATTTTGAAAACTTTTTTTTCTGTTTATTTATTTTTGAGAGAGAGAGAGACAGAGTGCAAGTGGGGGAGGGGCAGAGAGAGGGGGATACACAGACTCTGAAGCAGGCTCCAGGCTCTGAGCCTGATGCAGGGCTCAAAGTCGTGAACCACGAGATCATGACCTGATCTGAAGTCGGACACTTAACTGACTGAGCCACCCAGGTGCCCCATCGATTTTGAAAACTTGTAACACTTGTTTCATGGCCTAACCTGTAGTCTGTCCCAGAGAATGTTTCATGAGCACATATGAAGAATATGTATCCTACTGTTGGCTAGTGGTATATTCTGTACACACCTATTAGATCCAGTCAGTAAGGTATTGTTCAAGTACTCTGTTTCCTTATTGACCATCTGTCTGGTTGTTCTATCAATAGTGGAAAATGGGGATTGAAATCTCTTACTTTTATTATGTTGCTATCTATTTCTCTCTTCAATTCTGTCAATATTTGCTTCATGTATTTGAGAGCTCCGACACCGGTGCATATATATCTATAATTGTCATATCTTCCTGGTGGATTGACCCTTGTATCATTATATAATATCCTTCTTTGTCTCTTGTAACAATTTATGGCTTAAAGTAGTAATAATTTGCTGATTTTTTTTCTGCTTGATCAAGTCTGCTTTTAAACTTCTCTAGAGATTTTTTCATTTCAGTTATTATATTCTTCAGATCCAGAATTTCTCTTTTTTATAGTTCTCTTTTTTATAGTTTCTATATTTTTGTTGATATTCTTACTTTGTTCATGCATCATTTTCCTGATCCTATGTAGTTGTCTGTGTTCTCTTCGAGCTCATTGAAATCTTTAGGACAGTTATTTTGAATTTTTTTGTCACGTTGTTCATAGATCTCCATTTCTTTTTTTTTTTTTATTTAATTTTTTTAAATTTACATCCAAATTAGTCAGCATATAGTGCAACAATAATTTCAGGAGTAGATTCCTTAATGCCCCTTACCCATTTAGCCCATTCACCCTCCCACAACCCCTCCAGTAACCTTCTGTTTGTTCTCCATATTTAAGAGTCTCTTATGTTTTGTCCCCTCCCTGTTTTTATATTATTGTTGTTTCCCTTCCCTTATGTTCCACAGGTCTCCATTTCTTTAGGGAAGATTTCTGAAGACGTACTTTATTCCTTTGATTGGGCCACCTTTCCCTGTTTCTTTGTATGCCTTAGAATCTTTAGTGGAGATTTGAATATTTGAAAAAGGACGCTTCTCCTGGTCTTTATAGACTAGCCTCTTCTTCTTCTTTTTTTTTTAGACTAGCTTCTTATAGGAAATGACCATCACCAGTCATCTGGGTTAGAGATTCTGGGGATCTTTCAAACCTTTTCTGGGATATGTCTTCTCCAGCCTTGTATATGAAATTTCTGTCAAATAGGTTTGCCCCTTCCTTATCAGAAGCCCATAATCTCTTTCTCCCCCTGGTGTCTGTTTTTGGTATTGCAGTGTCTTTGGTGCTGCAATAAACCATGGATAGTCCTCTTTTTTCTCAAGCTACCCCTAACATGTATCCAGAATATATCACCATTCCCATCAGTGTTCTGAGTCAGATAAGATGGAAACCAGTCCCTTGGGAAGCCTCCCAAAACTCCAGAGTATTGGATGCACGTTCCAATCCTCCTTCCCTCCCAAGGGGGAAGCCACAATTTACGAGTTGTCTCCCACTTGTGCTGCCCTATATCAGGGAAGCAGGGGGACTAGGAAGGCAAAATGCAACAACCTTTTTTATCCACTTTAATCCACTATTCTTTTTTAGCTTCGAGTTCATCTTGAGTGCTGTAAGTTCTTAACTGGTTTCTGGAATCCTTACAAAGGGAATTTGGTCCATATATTGATTAGTCAGTATTTCCTGGTTGGGGGCTGGGGGTATGAATGGGAGCCTGGGGGTTCTTATTCCACCATCTTAATGACATCACTCCATTCAGATTATTTAATAAGAATTTTTTCTGTTATCTGGAGATAGGTTTGTTTGTGGATTGAGTCCTGTGGCTGTGCTGGGTTTAAACTGTACTCTTTCAATACCCTAAATCTAAAGGAAGTGATGCTTTCAGCAGTAAGAAAATGATAATTATGAAATGCCTTGCACTCTCTCTGTTGCTCCCTCTCTTTCTTCCTCATGCTCCCCTGCCTCTCTCCCCCTCCTCCTCTTTCTTTCTCTCCCCCTCCAGGCGTGTCTGATGCAGCAGAAGCTGGACTGGAAGTAGACTCCATCACACCACACTGGCTTCCCCTGGAGTCCCACAGCCTGTATTCATCAGCTCATAGAATGTTTGCCTTCTGTTCTTTGTGTCCCAAAACAATGAAGCCAGAAAGTTTAGGCCTGTTTAGGCTTATAAAAGGAGAGGAGATCAAAATAGCTAGAGTGAGCTGGTACAAGAATTACTGCACTGAGGCAAATATTTGGCTTATGTTTTGCTTCCCTTCCCTTTGCTTTGCTGTGTTCCCAGGGTTACTGCTGGGCATAGCATGTGAAATCTCTTTGAAGCTCATTTTTGGTCCTGCCAAATGTTGGGCCTAGGGAGAAAGGAATGAGTTCCAAATATGCCGAAAAAATTGAAAATAAAGCTATGTGTGTAAAACTTCTTTAAAGTCAGATAATCCAATTAGGTAGTAGGGAAGAGTGCCTGTTGTAATTCACAGAGATGGTCATTTTTAACTCATACAAGCCACCACAGTGGTCCTCTGATGGACCAGAGGGTGTGCCCATCATTGTGTCAACTGATAGCTAACATCTGTCTGAGAGATGGTTCTCAGGAGAGGTTTTACTGAAAAGTATCTTTCCATGTTGTTTCCATTATGATCACTTTCTTTGTTTGTTTTTTTTTTTTTCTTTTTAGGTTAGATGCATACAAGCCAATGCGGTACTTGGAAAACAAGGCAGCTTTAAATGGGGCATTAGAACGGTTGAATTGGCCCATTTCACTGAAGGAGCTGTCAATGCTGGAAAATGAAATCCTAGCTGGGAAAATGTATATCCAACAGGCCATGGAACTCCAGGAGGCTGCCAAGAAGGAGAATTATGTGAACAAGAGAGGAGAGGTAGGTGCCATGGAGGTGTTGATATGTCCTTCCTCCCTCCTGTCCCAAGTCATTGCCATCCCTGCACTGGCCTTCCTACCCCCTCCTGCACCCCCCTCCACACCGATTTCTAAAAGAGTTAGAGCCAACCCATTAAAGTGACAGGATTTCCTTTCAACAGAAAGGAAATGCCATTTGATTTTACTGTGGCCTTTTTTTTTTTAAACGAAACTAAACAGAAGTATAATGTCGTGATCAAAGGCCTGAACTTTGATTTGAGCCACAGCAGGGTCCAGCCTCAGATATGCTACCTAATCCCTATGTTATCTTGGCCAGGTACTCCATCTGAATCTTAGGTCTTTTAATCTGTAAAATAGGAATATTACTAGTATTTGTCTCACAGGGTTATTATGGGAGTAAAATGACTTCTTAAAGTACTTCATGTTGAAAGCCCCCCCCAAGTGTTAGTAATTATTACTAATAAAACAAACTTTTCAAAAAGAAAAAAATGATTTCTAATCCAACTGCCTTATTATTACCACTTTGGATCACTTACTTTTAGCTTTCTTTTTCCTCCTTGAATAAATTTTTTATATAGAAGCAGTCATAATCTCCATAATTATTTCGTATTCTCCTCTTTAATTATAGGTGACACACAGCGTTATATTAGTTTCAAGTGTACAATATAGTGCTTTGACAATTTAGTATGTTATGCTATGCTCATCACAGTGTAGATACCCTCTGTCACCATACAACACTAGTACGGTACCATTGACTATATTCCCTATGCTGTACGTTTCATCCCCAGGACTTATTCATTCAGACCTGTACCACTTCCTCCCCTTTACCCCTTTTGCCCATCCCCAACCCCTTTCTCTCTGGCAACCATCAGTTTGTTCTCTGTATTTATGGCTCTGTTTCTTCTTCTTTTTGTTTGTTCATTTGTTTTGTTTTTTAGATTCCGCATATAAATGAAATCATATGGTATTTGCCTTTCTCTGTCTGACTTATTTCACTTAGCATGATACCCTCTAGGTCCGTCCATGTTGTCACAGATGGCAAGATTTCATCCTTTTCATCCTTTTTATGGCTGAGTAATATTCCATTGTGTATGTGTGTGTATGCCACATCTTCTTTATCCATTCATCTATCAATGGACCCTTGGGTTGCTTCCACATCTCGGCTACTGTAAATAATGTTGCAATAAACATAGGGGTAAGGTATCTTTTTGAATGAGGATTTTCATTTTCTTTGGGTAAACACCCAGTGATGGAATTACTGGATCATATGGCAATTCTATTTTTTAATTTTTGAGGAGCCTCCATACTACTTTCCACAGTAGCTGCATCAATTTACATTCCCACCAACAGTGCACAAGAGTTCCTTTCTCTCCACCTCCTCACCAACACTTGTTATTTCTTGTCTTTTTGATACTAGCAATTCTCACTGGTGTGAGATGATATCTCCTTGTGGTTTTGGTTTACACTTCCCTGATGATGAGTGATATTGAGAATCTTTTTATGTGTCTGTTGGCCATCTGTGTGTCTTCTTTGAAAAAATGTCATTTTCTGCTTTTTAAGTTAGCATTTTCTCATATACTTTCTCTGTGTTTTGTGAATCTCAGATTGACTTTTTGTGACTACATAATATTTCATGGTGTGTATTATACCATGATTTATTTAATTCTTCACTGAATGTTAGACATTTGGGATATTTTTCAGTTTTCTCTTTCACACATCTTAATGGCTTCCATGGTGTATTTTTTTGTTAGGACAGATTCTTAGGAGTGGAATCCGTTGTTCAAAGGACATGAATATTTTGGGGCTCTAAATACTTGTTACCAATATAACACCCCCTTTCTGACTGTGCATGGGTGTGTGTGGACCTGGAATAGATCATCTTAAATCTTACTGAATTCTATATACTTTTTTTATATTCACTATATATTCACTAATAGATCTACCCCCAAAGAACTAACCCTTGAGATTCATCTTTTTTGGATTTAGTCTTTGCTAAGTGATACTGGCTTTGCTTGATTTAAAATTAAAAAAAAAATTTTTTTTTTAATTAGAGACCATGAGTGTGGGAGAGGGGCAGAAGGAGAGAGAGAATCTTAAGCAGGGGCAGAAGGAGAGAGATAATCAATGCAGAGCTTGATCCCGTGACCCTGGGATCATGACCTGAGCCAAATTCAGAAGTAAGATGCTCAACCGACTGAGCCACACAGGCTCCCCTGGCTTTCCTTGATTTTAAATTCTGCATTTGCTGCTCTGGATTCTTGGATTCTCTTTTGGTTTTGTTTGTTTTTCTTTAACTTTATTTTTCCCCTACAAATCACACTTTCCCCCTCCATTGTAGAAAAGTGTCTTTGTGCAGAAAGCAAAAATTTTATCACAAAACATCTTATGCCTATTAATGTTATTCAAAGTGACTTCCCCCAAAGAATTATTTAGTATTCCCTTGGGAGGCACCATATGAGGCCTTCAAACATGTGGCTGTCTGTTGGCCCTCCTCACTGGATGCCCTGTGGGTACCCAAGGGTCAAGAAGACAAAGTGAATAATTAACTGTCCCTGAAAACCTGCTCTTGCTACATCCATTGTTAAAGTTTCTACTGAGAAGTTTTGAAAAGTCATACAGAATGATGTCTCCAAGCCATTTGATTATTAGTGATCTTAGAATAATTTCAGTGGAATTGTGGGAACAGAAACCAGTTTGCAGTGGGTGTAGTGGGTAGAAGTGAAGAAAAGTAAGTACAGGAAGTAAAGATTTTGTTTCAAGATCTTCATAAAGAAGGAAAGGAAGAAGAGATGGTGGGAACTTGAGGCATGAGCTAGAGTGAGAGAAGACAGTGCATGTAATGGTATCAGTGGGTCCACTGCTGCCCCCTTCTTGGTCAGGGGCTAAGGCTCTCCCTTCACCACCCTGCCCCCACATAGGGTGTGTAAAGTCCCTACTGTCTGTTCCAATGAGGTCCATGTGCTCAGGACAGTTTTCCACTGGTAATGAATGGGAGGAGGGGGTATCATACTTGGCATCTTCTCTTCAGAGTTCTTTGCACTCTTAGCATGGCCCTCGGCAATGGGATAGTTTGTGTAGTGTTTTCTTATAATGATATTTCTCCTCATGATGTGTGATGTATTATGAGATGTTTTTATTCCATGTCTGCCATGCTCCACTGGTTTGACTTCATAATCCACTAACAGGTCTCAATCTCCTCTTGTGACAAACATTGGTTGGGACCAAAGCTCAAGATGGCAAGGGCTTGTGAGACCCCTAGGGGGAAAATTCACCACAGATGAAAGTCATTTTCACTGACTCATATATAAATATAGTCTGATCATAAATTCCTTCAGCAAAGGCCAAAGATTTTGATGAATGATTGTAAATTGGGGAGCAAGAAAGCATCTATTTTTTTATTAAGGTCCCCTAGAGTTTATTGATAACATGTAGCAAAAGGTGACTAAAGTTTGTTAGGAATGGGCATCTAATCGGAAAGCCCACACACAGTCAGAAGGGGGTGGCCAGTGGATTTGGTCCATGCCACAGCATGCTATGGAGTCTGGATGGCTGTGACTCTCTGATCTGTAGTCACCCCACTGGTTCCTGAGTTTGGGGCAGCTTCGTGACTTTTCTTGTTGATCAAAATCAAATGTGGGAAGAAGTGGCTGTACATGTTAGTGTTAGGCTAGCCTATACCTTGCTTTTTCTACTCAAGCGTTACCTGGTAGTCTTTTGCTGGCCTCAGGATCAGACCTGAGGGGAGAACAATCATCCCACCTGCTCTGCCCACCATGGTCACATTCTGCACATAACTAAAGAATTGCTTCCCCTATTTCCATAATCTGCTAGTTCTGTGGTGTCCCTAGAGACAGGTGCTTGGCTCACTGACTACATAATGAAAAGAAATCTGAAGGCTGAAAATTTAAATTCCCCTTGAAAACTACCTCTGCTCACTCTTCTTTTATTGCCATGATTGCAGATTTCACCATCATTGGCTAATCAGAGCTATGCTATGGTAGAAATCACCACTGGGCATCTGAATTATAATTGACCTTCCATAGTTCTCCCTGGGAGCCTGGTCTAGGCAGCCCAGCCATGGTATCCTACATTTCCTTACTACCTAAGGGTTGTTCTCCAGAGCAAATCCTGCAGAACCCAGGCCCAGAAAGACCCAACAGGCTCTCCATACTCATAACATTGACCCAAGCCTTGGAAAATCTGGAGGCAGAAAATCTTGTGAAGCTGTAAGCACCTGTAAGCAACCCTAAAAGAGGTCATGGAAACATAGCTACACAGCCAGCTACCCATGTTTATTTCTCCAAGTTGTGACTAGAAAGGAATCTGGAGTCTGTGGCCTTTAGGAATGGTGCAATGAGTGCTCCAGTCCATGAGAAATCATCCAAGAGAAAGAGTGTAGGGAGGATACAGGTGAGGCTGGGTGAGGTGGAACGTGGAAAGTGAGAGAAGGAGAGAGACCATTTGGATTGGAAAACACTGTCAGGAAAACAGTGAGTTTGGCACTGTATAGGAGAAAGTTGGTTGGAAAGACTTAGACATTTCTTTGAGTTGTATAAAATGGAGTCAGAATAGGGGCACCTGGATGCCTCAGTCAGGTGCATCTGACTCTGATTTTGGCTCAGATCATGATCTCAAGGATGGTGAGATCTAGCCCTGAATCGGGCTATGAGCTGTCAGAGCGCGCTCTCTCTCTCTCTCTCTCTCTCTCTCTCTCTCTCTCTCTCTCTCTCTCTGCCCCTCTTCTACTCGTGCTCTCTCTGTCTCTCAAAATAAATAAATAAACATTTTTTAAAAATAAAATAAAGGGTCCCTGGGTGGCTCAGTCAGTTAAGCATCTGACTCTTGGTTTCTACTCAGGTCATTATCTCACGTTTTGTGAGTTCTTGCCCATATCGTGCTCTGTGCTGACAGCGTGGAGCCTACTTTGGATTTTCTCTCTCTCTCCTCTCTCTGCCCCTCCCATGCTCTCTCTCTCTCTCTTTCTCAAAATAAATAAATTTT